AGTTCAGCAGCTCAGTAGTTTAACCTGCTGTGCCACCAGAGAGAGAGGTAGTTCCACCCAGAAAAATGTGTGTGTGTCTTTATCTCATATGTGTGTATGTAGTTGCTGTTTCTTTGGATCATTCCCAATTTATGGTAACCCTAAAGCAAACCTACTGCTTTCTTGGCAGGATTTGTTTTGATGGGGTTTGCCTTCGCCTTCCTTTGAGACTGAGAGAGTGTGACTTGCCCATTGCCAAGCAGGGATTTGAGCACTGGTCCCCAAAGCTATCTTCTGGAGGGCTCCTACTAAACTGAAACATGCAGTGCCTTGAATACAAAAATTCTCAGCTTTTCCCTCTGGCATCTTTGTTAGTTACAAATTTCTTATCAATGTAGGTTTTGCTGAGGACATAGCAAAAGAGGTTTTCCTGAGGACGTGACAAAGGAAGGAGAGCCATGGTATTCTAGTGATGTGATTTACTTGAATTTCCTGTCCCTCCACCCCATCTCACTCCAAGCAGGATAGAGGTTGCAAGGTGTCTGTCTATATTTGTCAAGACAATGCAAATGAATGAAAGAGACATAGACAACTGTGTGGGTTTTATTCAGCCTCTAATACTGAGAGCCAGCATGGTGCAGTGGCCTGGGATTCCAGAAAACCAGGGTTCAAATCTCTGCTCAGCAATAGACATCTACTGGGCGACCTTGAGCAAACCATATGCTATCAGCTTAAGATGAAGGCATTGGAAAACTCCCAGTAAATAAATCTTGCTAAGAATGCCCTGTGATAGAGTTGCCATAAATTAGAGTTGACTTGAAGACATACAGTATAATACTATAACACCCCAGGCAATTGCTTTAGAGAATTAGCCCTTCAAGCCTGTAATCCTGGGGAGATGTGATTGTTACAAATCAGTTTTTTTTATCAGGTGCAAACAAAACAGGAGAAAAGAAAAACAGGAGGAAAACAAAACACCAGGAAAGAAAGCATAAAATTTATACATGAGAAAGACCTGGAAGGTCATCTAATCTCTTTCCCTGCCAGTCTAGGATTGCTTTTTACAGAAAGTGCCCACCCTGATTAGAAACATTACAAGGGATGGAGTTGCAAAAATGTTAACTTACAAAAAGAGGTAAAAATAGTATGTCACTAGAAATTATTTTCACACACACACAAGCCATGCCCTCCAACATTTTACAAATGAGGACTAGGACATATGGTCAAAGGATGTAGCCAGGTAACAAGGGAAGAAAATGTATTAATGATGGACAAGAACAACAACACCCCTCCCACTCACACCCACACACACAGGCACACATTATTTTAAGCAAAGAATTCCTAGAATTTATATGCTAAGTTTTGAAAAGCCTGGGTTTGTTTTGGGGGGGTTTTTTTTGGGGGGGGGGGCAAAACATTAATGTAATACTCTTCTGTGTATGTGTGTGTGCATGCACATGATCTCTGCGTTCACATCCACCATCCACATTAAGTGTATGTCTGTATGTGCCATGAGGTTGCTTTTTGACTTATGGCCCCCAGTGGCACAGTGAGTTAAACTGCTGAGCTGCTGAACTTGCTGATCGAAAAGTTGCAGGTTTGAATTCGGGAGGGCGGCATGAGCTCCCACTGTTAACCCCAGATTCTGCCAACCTAGCAGTTCGAAAACATACCAATGTGAGTAGATCAATAGGTACCGCAGGAAGGTAACGGCACTCCATGTAGTCATACCAGCCACATATCCTTGGAAGTGTCTACAGATAATGTCGCTCTTCAGACTAGAAATGGAGATGAGCACCAACCCCCAGAGTTGGACATGACTGGACTTAATGTCAGGGGAAAACCTTTACCTTTACCTACAAAATCAGTAGGGTTTTCTTAGGCAAGAAAGACTCAGCAGTGGTTTTACCTGTTCTTTACTCTGAGCTATAGCTTACAACACCTGGCTGACCCTATTTAGCTGACCCCACTTAGCTTCCAAGATCATTTGCTGCCTTTAGAATATTTAGATCAGGGGCCTCTTGTAGCACCCCGTACACCCTCCCTCCTCCCCCATCACACTGTGGGAATGGGACAAGGTGTGTTGGCACCCTTTCCCTTCCCCCATCAGATGGCAGAAAAAGCAGCAATGTGCAGCAATTGCCCCACCACCCTTTCTGCCATCACATGGCAAAAATGAGAGAAAAGTGCAGGTAGCTCCATCAGAGCTACCCAAACAACACTTTCCTTCCCATCCTGGAGAACACACTTTTTGACACCTCTCATCCAGTTCTGAAGAAATCTTTTTTTGCTGCATAAAGGAGGCAAAACACAGCAAAATGCCCCATGTGAAGAGGTCCCAAGTCTAACCTCACTCTCCATCACATAGCACTCAGTTGGTCACCTTCAGTCAATGGTAGCATCTCAGTGTACCCTAAGTCTCAGGCTAGTTCTTAGAATAAAAATAGCAATTACTAACATTTAAAAGTAGATTTTGTAATAGTCCCAGAAATATTTCTGTTAGGCATTATGGATAAAGACCTGCATAAAAATATGGACTTCTTCAATTTATGACAACCATAGCAACAAGATTGTTTACTGAATGAAAGAATGAATTGTGATAGTTACTGATTTAAGCCAAAAGAGCCAAATTCATGTAATTCCTAAACGATAGGCTATTGAACATTTTATAACATGTGGCGCAGTGGGTTAAACCCCTGTGCCGGCAGGACTGAAGACCGACAGGTTGCAGGTTCGAATCGGGGGAGAGGCAGATGAGCTCCCTCTATCAGCTCCAGCTCCTCATGCGGGGACATGAGAGAAGCCTCCCGCAAGGATGATAAAAACATCAAATCATCCAGGCATCCCCTGGGCAACGTCCTAGCAGACAGCCAATTCTTTCACACCAGAAGTGACTTGCAGTTTCTCAAGTCGCTCCTGACATGACCAAAAAAAATTTTTTTTATATAACATTGGAAATTGTTTACAGATTATTATTTTTTAATAATAAGAAATCTAACAATCTTCTGAACAGAGGCGCAAACAAGCTAAACAAACACTACAGGGGTGTTAACCCTTTGCCATGCTATCCAAAGATGATCTAGATCTAGCTTGGCTGGTCTCACACTTTAAAAAAATGCACCTGTTCCAACTTACGTATAAATGCAATTTAAGAACAAACCTGCAGAACCTATTTTGTTCATAACTTGGGGACTGCCTGTAATAGTCTGTAGCCATAATAATTAGGGGGAGGGGGGCTGTTTAGTTGGCTCTTTAAAGGTAGAATTTGTTTCTTCTCTTAACGCTTTTCAGTGTAGCTGTTGTATGTCTATCTCCCTCTCTCTTTTCTTTTTTATGCATCTTTATTTTTGATGGCTTATTATTTTGACTGTAAATTAGGTTGCGCTGATATAATAAAAAAAGAGAGGCCTTATATATAGAGTAAGTATAAACCACTGCTTCTTAAGCTGTGGATCCTGACCCCAAATGAGGTCGCCTTTGCTCAGTGTTGTGGTCCCGGAAAAAAATGGCAACAATAAAGGGTTTCTGAATGTCACTTGGTGGCTGTTTCAGACATTTACACAAATCTGTTGTTTACAGGGGATTCTGCAGAAAATGCTTCAGCTGTACTTCATAAAATGGGAAATCAGCCTGTTCAGCAAGTCTTGCAAATGCTGATTTGTTATCAGTAAATGTATCTGATTTTTCTAAACCTACATACCTAGGGTCACTTTCTCAGGATGTGAGTGGGAAAGTTTAATAAGCTCTGGTGTAGACCACAGTGAATTGTACCACTGAATTTAAGTGGAAAAAGCCAGATAGGTATCCATTTGAAGTAGTGGAAGCTAAAAAAAATGTGACTCATTCTATAACAGTGGTTCTTAACCTGTAGGTCATGGACCACCAGTAGGCCACGGACCAACAGTGGGCCACAAGGATGAAAATCCTCTTTATTTTATTTTATTTTATTTTATCTTATYTTATTTTATTTCTGCTCCTTTATGCCACCTGCCACTCCGCTGACCATGTCATATGTTCTGTATCAGAAACTAGAGCTGATATGGCGTAACCAATGCAATTTTCTGAATCAGCACCCCAAACCAAATCTAAAGTTGACCAAAAACTGATTTGTAACCCTTTTGGTWCTAATGTTGGAGAGTGGTCCCTGGTCAAAGTAGTCCCTGGTCAAAAAAAATGTTGGGAATCACTATTATAAAGCAATAAATTATTAGAATATAACTTTTGTGATCCACAGTCCCATTGAGGCAGCTGAAATGACTCTGGTTCACAACAAAATCAGGATATCAAAAACTTAATTTCAATGCAGTACAAATCCTTCGGATACCTCAACTGATATTGGCCATGCTGATTGGGGGAGTCTAGAAACTACTGCCCAAAACAAGAAACCTGTCCAAATTTGAGTGTGAGAGGGAGCAAGAGAAAATGAGAGAAAGAGCTTGAAGAAGCTACAAGACTCTTTATAATTGGTGAGAAATAGGGCAGAACGTGACCCCAGGCATGCCAGCAAAGCTTGTGTTTATTCTTTCATCATAGCAGCAGAGCTGGGTACATTTGTCACTCATTCTTAAAAGCTTTGAGGCTGCCTTTGAGTTGAGTTCAGATTTCTTTACTTATGCACAGCCTAACAGCTTAGCTGGAGTCCTATCATGCCCTCAACTGTGTATTCTTATGAAATGACAGTTCAAAAGAAGACCCCCACCATCCCCATCACACACACACACATCCCATCACTCATTTGGGTAGCCCTATCCTGGAACAAACTGTGTTATACAATGTACACTGCTTAGATCTCTCTGTTTTCTTGGCGAGGACAGAGCTGTGTCCCCGCTAGTCACACGATATCGTGTTCCTAAGATGTTCACTTGTCAAAGAATAACTGTTTCCCTTGAGCCAACTCATGACATCAGTGACACTTGCCAGATATTATACCACGGATCAAATGTGGCATTCAAAACTGCTGCCTTGTAGCTGTCTGGACACTTCATTTTGTGTATGTTGTAGACTTTACAGGCAGAGATTAGTTTCTTTGCCTCCTGTTGAAACGGTTCAAAAATAGCCATGTCACCAAACCCAAATAAAAATGAGTGACAGAAGAAAAGGTATTTGAAGTCCACACAATCCACTCTCAGTCTGTTAGAAAGAGAGAACGTAAAGGTGAAGGCAGCACATTTCCAAACTAACTCCAGAAAGCCTGGTGGAAGAAGCTACTTCTATATTTATTAAAGTAAGCCTTTACCTCTTTCATAGATTATTGCGATCTTAACTTGGGATACACAGCACACTAAGTGAATATACTCTAATTTTTTTAAAAAAAATACAGTTAATAATGCAATGTAATGCCTACTGCATGTCATTCCCTCCTTCCATGTTGCTGCATTTTAATATAGTATTATTTTTCTTAGATATATAAGGTCAGTTGTTCTTAATGGTTTTTATATCTGTTTATTAATGTAGTGTTTCAGTGGTTATTAAAACAGTACATTAACATGTGGCACCTTATAATATGCCCCTAAAGGTAATGTTTAATAAGATAACAATTCCGTGTCATATCCTTGTACTAACAATGACTTAGAAACTATGTATTTTCTTTTATTTTTAATTTAAAACATGTTTAATGCTAATGCTATGTTTACATACAATGACTTCATTTTAATGCTTTCCAAACCTAACCTTGAATGAAATTGCATTGATTGTAGTTATCTTGATAGATATAGAACTAGCTTTTAAGCATGCTAACACCATGTTTATAAGCTTTTATTGAAGGGTTTTTAAAATACTAATGAAAATTAAACAGAGTACACTCCGATGCATATCTGCTAAGATATGAATCACTGAGTTCAATGGGGCTTCTACATTTAGAATTACACTATAAGGCTACAATTATACCCATTTATTTGGGGGTAAGTCAAATTGAATTCAGCATAGCTTGTATCTGCATACACGCATATAAGATCACACTACAAACGTGGCTTAAACAATCGGTCCCTAAAGTACTCAAGTGGTCTTGAAATCAGAAACTCTGTCCTGGCCTTGAGGTTTTAGATACAAGTGGAGAGGGGTGGAAAATGAGACACACACCAAAAAAACACCACCAATGTTACCTTTTATGAAATTTCAATACAGACATGATACCTTGTGATGTGTTCAAAAGAAAATAGCTGCAGAACTAGGGCAGGCACTCAATGCTCTGTTATACTTTAATTTACACTGAAAAATAACTCACTTGCATTTACATATAAAATGCAAACACTTTTACAAATTAGCTTCCCTCGGGTGCAACAGAATTATTCTCAATGAATTGCTCGATGTCACTAGGAAAGATAAACTGAATGAAACATACATAAATTAACTCTAACATCTTGTGCCGCTCTAGAATTCAGCAAAATGAAGCTAAACTGAAGAAAGAACATTTAGTAGACTACTTTATTGACTGATTGATCGAGTTATAGTATATCTGTATTGTCTGCCAGCTCACAAGAACTCAGGAGGCAATGAATTTTTTTTTCTGTGTTGGGTGCGACTTGAGAAACTGCAAGTTGCTTCTGGTGTAAGAGAATTGGCTGTCTGCTAGGACATTGCCCAGAGGATGCCTGGATGTTTTACTATCCTGTGAAAGGCTTCTCTCATGTCCCCGCATGAGAAGCTGGGGCTGACAGATGGGAGCCCACCCCACTCCCCGGATTCAAACCACCAACTTTTTGGTCAGCAGTCCTGCCGACACAAGGGTTTAACCCATTGCATCACCAGGAACTCCAGGAACAAATGAAAGCTAATTAAAACAATATAGGAACATTTTAAAAATATATTAAAATACAATGGGCCCTTGGTATCAACTGGAGTTTGGTTCCAGGACCTCTCATGGATATCAAAATCTGTGGATATCCAAGTGCCATTACATACAATGGAGTAGTAAAATAGTGTCCCTTATATAAAACAGCAAAAGTTTTGCTTTTGGGATTTTTTTCAAGATGTATGGTTGAATCCAAGAATGTAGAATCTGTATATATTTCAGATTTCAATATTAATGTCAAAAAAGTAGTATAACTTTACATTGGATTTGTGCTACATTGGAACAGTAAAGACAAATATCACTTAAGTAAAAGAAACATTAAATATTAAATAATCAGGAAAAATAAAATAAGGTGTAAATGGTAATAATAATAATAATAATAATAATAATAATAATAATAATAATAATTTATACCCTGCCACCATCTCCCCGATGGGGACTCGGAGCGGCTTACAGGAGGCCAAGCCCAAAACAACAATTACAATAAAGAAAAACCAAGACACAACGCTAACCGAATCTGGGAATCCACTACTGCAAATGTATTTTTTAAATTCCTAAATGCAGTCTAAAATCTTTTTTTTATCATGTCAAAAGCAACTTGAGAAACTGCAAATCACTTCTGGTGTGAGAGAACTGGCCATCTGCAGAGACATTGCTCAGGGACGCCCAGATTTATTATTATTTATTATTTAAAAGTTTTCTATACCGATCTTCTCACCTCCAGGAGGGACTCAGATCCAGTTCACAAGATGTGTTCATATACAAAATACAAACCACACAATGCATTATCATCACACGTTAAAAACATGTTACAATACAACATTGTCATCATCACAATTACACAGCCAAGTCGTCAAAAACATTCATGGTCATAATTCACAGATGTTTTACCATCCTGCGGGAGGCTTTTCTCATGTCCCCACCTGGGAAGCTGGAGCTGACAGATGGGTGCTCACTCCATCTCGTGGATTCGAACAGCAGTTCCGTCAGCACAAGGGTTTAACCCATTGTGCCACCGCAGCTCCTAAATCAATCAATCCTAGTATACAGCCTTAAAACAGATAAAACAGCAGTTTCAGACACTGAATGCCATACAGAACATATCTGCATGGCCACTAGAAACATAGACGATATGAAACCAGCCCAACTTTCTTGAGTAGGGAAGTGAGGAAAGTGAATGAGCACCAAAGTGGGGATATCACAAATTAAGTTTTCACTTGGGTGAAAAAGTTTAAATATTTGTATACAGCATGAATATTCTTGGAAAGGTTCATAAGAGAACCTTATAGCAGAAAGCAGGAATTTCAAGTTCACTGTGGTGTTCTTCTTTCTTACATACGCAAACGTATAGTTCATCAGAATACTCACCTAAAGTGTGTAAAGAAATCACGGTGTGTTCTCTGTTTTTAAAAAAAGAAACTGCAAATCAAGTTCTCCATCTGATAGCAAACTCAGGTAGTAAATACCAACAGGATTGTTGCCAGAACAGGCCTACTAAAAGGAATATATTGGCATGGTTGGAATAAGTTCTTCCGAAGGGCTTTTTTAAAAGTATTCCCAGCTTCTGAAAATGGATCAATGATGTCTCAGGAAGCACAGATTATTTTTGGGTCTCCTCGAGATGGGCCAGTAGTTCTGGTAAATGTCAAGTGAATTCTGTTTCTGGATTTCACAAAGTTGTTCCCGCTTCTGCATGAAGTCACAGCCTAACTATACCACGGTTTCATCCATTCTTTTTCTCCTCTGCTTTAAGCATGGTTAATTCTGATGTGGGCAGAGCTTCTTTCCCTTCCCATCATTCCCTCCCCATGGGTTCCCCCCACTATCCACATTCCTTGATGTACACTTTGGAACTATAACGGCAAAGGAAGGGAAGCGAGAAGAAAAACATTCAATCTGCTAAATAGAATGATAAATGTAAATGTAGAGATGTATTGATTCTGCAACTTAACACTCTCCTCCCCATGTTTGGGAAGCTGTGGGTAACTCAGCAGATTTCAAATACAGATGGGAACAATAGTATACTGTATATAGATTATCTTTTTCTCACTGACTTCCAGTTTGCTATATCATAGTTCTTAATATAGCTAATGAATGTTGGATATCAAGCATTCAAAACATCTTGACATCTTGAATAGCTTGGGTAGTATAAGGGAGCTAATTTTTAGTCTAGGTTTAAGCACCTCTTTTAAGAATGGCAACGAGTTATATTGGGTGTTTTATAAGGAGGAATAAACAGCAGACTGTCATTGAGAGGCTAAACTTGTCTATTGGAAAAAGTTTTTTATTAATGAATTATTTGTGTTTATTTCAATATATATATATATATATATATATATATATATATATATATATATGGAACTTTGAAAAAAATAGAAAGATAATGGGGAAAGAAAGGCAAACCTCCATAGGAAAAGCCACTTCCCCATTCCAAACATCAATAAATTGGACCTCTGAGGAGGTACAGAAGGAATGAAGCAATGCAGACAGACTTGGGATTTTCTCTTGGCTGCATCAAAAAGTCCCAGAGCAGAATACAACTCTTATGTCATGCTATGGGTTTAAAAATGGTGACTAGTGTCAGAAATCCATGACAAAATAAACCAAAAGAGAGGATACATCATATGGATCATTGGGGGAGAAATGTAGAAATGTATGGATGAAGAAATGTCTGGAGCTTTTTGAAGAAAGTATTCTTGCATGAATCCTTGCAATATGTACAAATTAAAATAATAATAAAAAGCACACAAAAAATATTTAGAGGAGTGTTTTGTTGCACTCAAACACTTTCTGGTGATATTTCATACAAGAACTAGTAGTGCCTGATCTTATCCTGAAAGCTTTAACCAAGTCTGTAAACTTAAGGGAAAATTCATTCAAAATGGCATGACTGTACTGAGTTTTAAACTGTCAAAGTAGAAGGAACTCTTCTGTCAAATGCAAACAGGGATTTTTGAAAAAATGTAACATTTTGAGGGATGATTTTGTTTGGCAGTGGTCAAAACTGAGTTGCAAACTGTCCACATAAATATGTGAGAAGGGCAAGAAGACAACTATAATTTTGAGAGGCCGGCTTGAGAGGGGCAATATATTCTATTGTAATAGACGAACCCAATTGAGTAGTTATAGTGCAACATATTCTTATGTATGAGACAGGCTATTCTGATGAAATATAAACTGATGTAGCCTGAGATGTAGCTCTAGCCAAACAACTTATTTTAAAAGAAGTCATATATTTTCACATTTCAATTATCAATTTAAGAGAAGTTTTTCATTTTTGCCATTCAGGTAAAAGGGAACCCACTGTTTTCTTCGCATATATATTTTTCCCCAAAAGATCACTCATAAGAATTCCTTTCTGTACATTCTGTTGCTTTCTTTCCAGAAAATGAACAGATATACTGGCTCCAAACGCCATCATGTGGTAGTCCATGATGCCCATGGCTTGAAGAATTTCTGGGAGGAAATCATTGAAACACACAGCAAGAGCAAACAAATTGATGATTTACGATTGACCAGAAGTGCTTTGAACAAGTAAGAGAGAGATTTTGTTGTTTTTAAACTGCCACATCTACAAGCTACTTAACAAAAGAAAGTACTATATCATGAAAGTATCAAGAGATATTTCCAATATTTTTTGTGGACTAAACATTAAACAGAGTTCTCCACTGAATACCCCACTCTCTGCCGTTCAGCAGTGGGTGTTCCCTGTCTGGAAGGAACCTAACTCCATTTTGATGATATTTTCCAAAAAAAAAGCCAAACAGACATCACTCAGCAATGCTTTATAGATTAGAGCAGAGTTTCTCAACCTGGGGGTTGGGACACCCTGGGGGGTCATGAGGGGGTGTCAGAGAGGTCACCAAAGGCCATCAGAAAACACAGTATTTTCCGTTGGTCGAGGGGGTTCTGTGTGGGAAGTTTGGCCCAATTCTGTCGTTGGTGGGGTTCAGAATGCTCTTGGATTGTAGGCAAACTATAAATCCCAGCAATGACAACTCCCAAATGTCAAGGTCTATTTTCCCCAAACCCCATTAGAGTTCATATTTGGGCATATTGAGTATTTGTGCCAAGTTTGGTCCAGATCCATCATTGTTTGAGTCCACAGTTCTCTCTGGATGTAAGGGAACTACAACTCTAAAACTCAAGGCCAATGCCCACCAAACCCTTCCAGTATTTTCTGTTGATCATGGGAGTTCTGTGTGCCACGTTTGGTTCAATTCCATCTTTGGTAGAGTTCAGAGTGCTCTTTCATCATAGGTTAACTATAAATCCCAGTAACTACAACTCCCAAATGACAAATTCAATCCCCGCCACCAACCCCACCAGTATTCAAATTTGGGCATATTAGGTACCTGTGCCAAATTTGGTCCAGTGAATGAAAATACATCCTGCATATCAGATATTTACATTACGATTGATGACAGTAGCAAAATTACAGTTATGAAGTAGCAATGAAAATAATTTTATGGTTGGAAGTCATAACAACATGAGGAACTGTATTAAGGGGTTGTGGCATTAGGAAAGTTGAGAACCACTGGATTAGTGGACGTTGTTGTAATGCTTTAACTCATTTGCTTACCATTGGCCATGCTTAAAGCAGATGATGAGAGCTGCAGGCTAAATCTTCAGCAGGATGACAAGTTTTCCATCTCTTTTTATATACAAGCAGACGTTGTAAATGTTACTTGTTTAGATACCAGACGCCCTCGCTGGAATGAATGTGTTGGATGAATATGCTTGCCTGAGTATAAAAATACCCTGTTCTAGTGAACCAGATGAATTGACTGCCATGTTTGCTATGCTAACCAAATATAGCAAAAACTCTGTAATCCTTTCTTTCTTATATCCAGAAAAAGTGAGTAATGCAAGAAAATAGATAGTAAGAAAAGGAAAGCTTCATCCTTTCCCTATCATTCGATTTCTACCTTAAGTTGGTGCAGTCCATTGTTTTTATTTATTTATTTATTTATTTACGACATTTATGTGCCGCCCTTCTCACCCTGAAGGGGACTCAGAGTGGCTTACCACCACGGGAACCTTATTTGTGAGGTTAATGTGTTTCTGGAAGGTTAGGAGGATCTTTGGATCAACAGATAAGCATTTTGTCCCTTCTCTGATGCCAACTCTCCCTTTTTTGGGGCCAATTTCAACACAAAGTAAAACTATTGAGGCCAGAGTATCCCTACAGGATAACAGAGGGCCCTTCCACATAGCCATATAACCCAGAATATTAAGGCAGAAAATTCCACAGTTTCTGCTTTGAACTGGGTTATCTGAGTCCACACTGCCATAAATTCCAGTTCAAAGCAGATATTGTGAAATTTTATTCAGCTGTGTGGAAGGGGACAGTTTGTCTGTTCAAGCACCCATCTCTGCTTATGTAGTTGAGAGACCTGTCTAGAAGTACCATTACAATACAGTAGTACTTGAAAAAGCTCATTGTCTAGAACGGTTTAAACATAAAAATTGTGATCTGGGGAACTGAGGGCTTGAATGTATTAGCACCACATCATTAGAACTGCCCCATGACACATTTCAAGGTTAGAGAAAGCTTTGTACAGACATCTTCATCGGCAATGAAGTGTTTTCCCCTATTGTTGAGTATGGACGAGAACGGAGCTTAGTGAGAACACAAGCCATGATCGCTCATTAGAAAACTATTGAACTCGCAGTTTCAGTGTGAGAATAAGTTATGTTATAGATTTCAAAAATATATAGCCTTTCATCAGACATGTCACCTGCTGCAAAATAACATCCAACAGCTCCATTCAAACTAGACTTTATAAAGCGCAAGCTCTTCAAAAAGACTGTATAATTCAAACAATGTGCCTTTATCTTGGTAGGATAGGTATGCTGACCTCACGGAATACTGAGCACTTGTCTAAAGCGCTGAATTGAAGGCAAATATTCTCTTTGTGTTCCCTGGGCTGTTGTAGTTGACACGGAACACTTGGTCAAACTTTGAGAAGGGTTGCGGGGAGAGAGAGGAAGAGAAAGAGAGAGAGCCTGTGCTTTGAATAAAAACATTCCCAACTGATTCCACTGAATTTTAAAATTCTTGAATAAGACCTCTGGAAAATGCCATTTTTGCTACAGGGCAGATTGGACTAAAAAAAGTTAAACTATAATTTGTAATCTCAAGTGGAAAGAAAAAGAAAATGAACACATCTTTAAAAGGCCATTCTGGGCTTATTGAAACATTAAAAGAGGCAGGCAACAATGGCCTGTAGCATATTGAGAGCTGTGGTGAGGTGACATTTAATTCTAGGCTAGAATGCTGAATGCTTTATTTTCACAGTTCCAGTGGAAAGCTAATCTCGTAACAAAGCCATCCAGTAATGGCATCCAGATGAACAATCCATCTCACTATACACATGTTATGCCAGTGATGGGCAACTCTGGCAGATCTAGGAGTCAGTTATAGTATCTGTGATTTTCAGATGACCAGAATGATTTAAAAAATGAGGGGAAGAGAAGTGGCTAGCTGCTTAGTTCTATTTTTCCAAAAAAATGGTTTTCAAAAGAATAAGGGTAGATCTACACTGTAGCATTAATGAAGCTTGACACCACTTCAACTGCCACAACTCAATGCTATGTAATTATGGAAGTTTTAAGGGGCCATGATGGTGTAGTGGGTTAAACCACTGAGCTGCTGAACTTATTGACCAAAATGTCACCGGTGTGAATCTGTGAGGTGGGGGTGAGCTTCAGTGGTTAGGCCCAGCTTCAGCCAACTTATCAGTTCAAAAACATGTAAAAGTGAGTAGATAAATAGGTATTGCTTCAGCAGGAAGGTAACAGCACTCCATGCAGTCATGCTGGTTACATGACCTAGGAGGTGTTGATGGACAATGCTAGCTCTACGGCTTTATTATTTATCATGTCATCAGCAACCATACCATTGTATTACAATTCTAACAGAGCAAAACAAACACACAGATTAAAAAGAAAAAACACACAGAGATTTTGCAAATTTGGTAGTTGGTTAAATGTCCTTTGACCAGTATCTGGCCACTTGGAGTGCCTCTGGTGTTGCCGCAAGAAGGTCCTCCATCGTGCATGTGGCAGGGCTCAGGTTGCATTGCAGCAGGTGGTCAGTGGTTTGCTCTTCTCCGCACTCGCATGCCGTGGATTCCACCCTGTAGCCCCATTTCTTAAGATTGGCTCTGCATCTCGTGGTGCCAGAGCGCAGTCTGTTCAGCGCCTTCCAAGTCGCCCAGTCTTCTGTGTGCCCAGGGGGGAGTCTCTCATCTGGTATGACCCATGGATTGAGGTGCTGGGTTTGGGCCTGCCACTTTTGGACTCTCGCTTGCTGGGGTGTTCCAGCGAGTGTCTCTGTAGATCTAAGAAAACTCTACGGCTTAGAAATGGAGATGAGCACCTCCCCCCAAGAGTCAAGCACGACATGACTTTATATGAAGGGGAAACCTTTGCCAATAGTTTAACAAGGTCTTTAGCCTTCCCTACTAAAAAGAGCTGAGTCCTCAATAAACTCCAGAATTCCATAATTTTAGGTCATGGCAGTTAAATGGTTTCAAACTGCAGCAATTCTACAATGTAGATGCGCTCAAACTCACCAAGATACTCCATGGCCTATGTAAAAATCAAATTACCCTCTTCCCATCCAAAACTTCCAGCGGAGGCAATTTGCTCACTTTTTTGGCTATGGAAAGAGTAGTCAGGATGGGTTGGGAAGCACAGAATATTCTCTAGGCCACACTTTTTCTATCCTAAGTATAAGGCACCTTTAATTTTTAATATATTTGTTGTAATAACTGCTGAAAGAGCAGTACATATGTTTCTAGAACTCCAGGAAGGAGTGACAGTTTATTCTTGCAGAATTTTACCATAGCTACATATCCAAAAGGCACCTCTAGATAAATTTGAGACCAGGGATCAATTTTCCAGACATTCTGGTTCCTAATGTCAATTGATAGCAGGTCATTTCTTCCATATTGGTCCTCTGGAGGTAACTTGAGAGCAATTTGATTAATTAAATCTTCCCACTTTCCTAAGACATCTTTTGACCAGCTGGCCATACATTAAGAGCCCAGCTAGACATATGGGGTGCTGCTATATTGAACATTTGTTTTCTTAATTCAGAATGAATGTGGATCAGCCCCTTGACTTTCGTTTTGCCCTTGTAGTTCCACAAACAAATGTGTCTGGATTTGCAAACATCCCATCATCTCCAATGTATGAGTTATATGACTTTTCCTACAGCACTTATGCTTCATCCAGAGAATACCCAAAGGAACATGCAGCATGTATCTCTGATGACATAGTGCCTGTGGTCACAGATTTCCTTGATGTTATTTCCAGTGCCTGCATTATGCGACTTTTCCTACAAGGCAGCACTTTTGCTTCATCCCAGAGAATACCCAGAGGAGGAGCAGCATGTATCTCTAATGACAGCATTTTCCCAGTTGTTTGACTCCCCAGGAATCTAGCAATGTCACCAGGTTTCACGCTGCTGATGAGTTATACCATTAGTATTCTCTCTGTGTCCCAAGCCAGAAGGCCAGAGAAATACCTAGGCTCAATTAACACAAGACAAGTGTATTGGTGATGAAAGAAAAGGGACAGCATTGGTATCACTCAAAAGAGCTGAACATTTGGAAAATTTGGCTGGGGAGCCACTGATGAGAATGTTTGTTCCTTCTTCCCAGGCTCCGCCGTGAATGGGCTCAGAGACTGGAAGGTCGAATAAAGATGCTTCAGAAGACAAGCGAAAAACCCAAAGTGCAGGGTAGCCTGCTGCCAATTGAAACTTTTCAGCCGATGCATAAAACAGCAGCCTAAAATGGTTGCTGAAATGAAAGAGGGCTTATCGTTCTCAATGACTGAATCTAATTTTGATCTTGCACGCACCGTTATGAATGTGAACAGAAATTCCAGTGAATTCTAAGGTATAAACGAGCAAGGAAGAGAGATCAAACTCAGTTCATACTTTACTTCAAAGTTCAGTATAGCTCAGATAATCACAAAATCATTATGATTAAGAGTTCAAAGCTTATGGTTTCAACTAAAAGTATTACTATGTCTCTGTTAGCTTATCACATTGATCAAGTGATAGCTTTATCGTACTTTGGCAATAAAGAATTATTTTCTTTCTATGTGATGATGATGATGACAATGGTGGTGGTGATGATGATAATGCTCGAATTTGCCTTCTATATGTATCCCTGGAATCCCCCACCCCTCACCCCACAAACTAGGCTTCTTGAGGCTGAAGCGCCTACAACAGTGGTTCTCAATCTGTGGGTTGCCAAGTGTTTTGGCCTACAGCTCTCAGAAATCCCAGCCAGTTTACCAACTGTTAGGATTTCTGGTGATTGAAGGCCAAAATATCTGAGAATCCACAAGTTGAGAACCACTGGTCTACAATTTTGAGAAGGTCAAGCATCTTCTTGCATCACCTGCATTAGAAATAGCAAGTGTTCCTTTAGAAATATTTTTTCCAAGTTGAACTGTCTACTCCCACTTTCATTTCAGTAAAATAATCTGTTAAGGATCATCTCTATTTTCCTAGAGTAGGCAGAAGGAGGGTGGAAGCTAAGTAGCCATTACATAAAGATCGATGACTAGGTTCATTCAATGTACTCTCAATGGTGACTCTCAGCCTGTGTATCCCCAGGTGTTTTGGCCTATAACTCCCAGAAATCCCAGCCAGTTTACCAACTGTTAGGATTTCTGGGAGTTGAAGTCCAAAACATCTGTCAACCTACAGGTTGAGAACCACTGTATTAGCAAGACAGAACTGAAAAGAAGGATAGGCAGATAGGAAGCTGGAAGGAAGGAAGGAAGGAAGGAAGGAAGGAAGGAAGGAAGGAAGGAAGGAAGGAAGGAAGGAAGGAAGGAAGGAAGGAAGGAAGGTTTGGCAATATTACAAAAAAAAGGATGAAGTGTCACTTGATCACTAATCACATGATAGGCCTCTAAATCATTAAAGAATAACAGACAACTGAATTTGCATCATCTGTAGCACATCCGGTGAGCACAATTGTCTTGATAGGACTGAAGAGTAAAGTTCCCCTCCAAAACTATCATTGGCAAGAACAGCACAGATCTGTCATTTGAATCTTATCTCAAGTGTCACTGTTCTTTTGGGATGCACTCCCCTCTGACTCAGAACTCCCCAGCCAGAAACACCAATGAGCTTAATGACAAAATGTTCTTCATTTAGTTATAGCAGGATTTAAGGCAGAGAATGAATGGATGTGAGTGACAGGTATTAGAAAAGATTATAGCGAAAGCAGAAATCTCTGAGGCTATTCAGGGTTGCTTCATTGTGAATGATTTAGTATATTTTATGATCAGAGGGGGAAATGCTGTTTTGACGAAGGTGTAGATTACATTAAAATTAGAGTCAAGAATGTCTGTGTAAGTGAGCAGAGAAATTAATGTTTGGCATAGAGACAGCAATGCAATTTATCAAAACATCCATGAAAAGCTATGCCAGATGCCATTTGCAATCCTGGATTAAGCCATCCAGAGTGACTTCATGAAAGACACATTTTATGGGACTTGTTTTCATCACCATCTTGGTAATGCACTTGGAAGCAATCAACAGAGAGATTATAAAGTCTATACAGTATATGATTGTGTGCAGCTATACTGTCTTCTTCTTTTAATAAAATATGATGAGCAATATCAAATTTAGGCATTCTTATTTTTGCAAGAGGTTTGGGCAAAAGTAACACAAGGAACTTTCACTAAAGGCATGGGACATTTTATCAGTGGACACCTGTGGAGAAAGAGAACGTGTTTATCGGCTGTCATCAAGTATATTTTTATGAAATCTCGTCTATGCTGAGGGTCAAATGAAATGTCACATTCAATGTTCAGCTAGCTCCTCTGTCTATGAATTTTCTACATTTAAGTACAAGTGTCAGGCCCTAATTTTCTTTCTGACTTCGGGATGAGAGGAAATCTTGGGTGGAAAGATGGCTATTGCTTAACCACTTTGAAGATGTGTTCGAGATGAGTCAAGAATAAAAGAAGAACCTTTAGAATCTGGAAAAGAGATAATCAAACAGAGCAACTGGAGTGAGGCAGATGAAATGACAGATTATCTATCACTTTCCAAGTGTGCAGGGCATGTGTTTAAGGGGGCAGACAGCTGCCCTCCCCCAACATTTCCCCTTTGCTTTTAAATTTCGCTCCAACTGGTTTCAAGAGAAAGGAATAACTTATCCAGAACTTGGAAATATTAGCATTCATGATCACCTGAACACTCCCTGGAAGCCAAGATGATTTTAGCTACATCAAGAGAAGACATGACTCACTAGAAGATACAATAATGCTTGGAAAGGTGGAAAAGAGGGTCACATTTCAGATACTGTACATAGATTTGCTCAAGGAAGCCATGGCCCTAGTCTGTAAGAACTGATAGGGCTGTTGCTGACAGGGTGATTTGGAGGCCTCATAGGGTCACCATAAATCAAAGTTAACTCGAAGGCAGTTAAATAAGAAATAACTTTTCAGGGTTTAAAGCATCTCCATTTCAATGTTAAAAAGAGGTTATTTCTTATTTAGAATAGCTGCACAAGGATATGCCTGCTTTGTGTTAAGTTAGGTTTGAGTAAAAAGGCTCATGTATCATGGATGAATGCAGTCCACTGATTGCAGACAGATTCAGAACCCCTTGAGAGTAATCACTAGTCAAAAAGTCCCCCAAGAGCTGACTTTACAATTTAGATTTTAGAGTTGGCTGACAGATATGAAAAATTACTTATGCCGTAAACAGACAACCTACTGCTAAGAACACTGAAAAGTCTCAGGAGCATTATTTATTCTTGCAGCTACACAGAATGTATTTCATTATTAATTGGGCTCCTAATAGCATTCATTACCGGCAGTTGTGTGCCTGTAACTACTCTGTGAAGATCTAAATGCCACTCATTTCTAATCAAAAGGCAGCTCCAGAGATTTCTGAGGACCTGCATATTAGAGACAAGTTCTTTTTTTCCAATACAAAAACAGCTTCTTGTTTCCTCATATATATTTATTTGTTCCAGTTCAGAATGATCAAACGAAGTCACTCACAGCTTTTTGACAAATACTGACATTGCATTATACAGTATAATCACCATATCTGTGCTACTGGTATCAACTGTTTCATTTATCCACCTCTGAAAAAATATGTCCTCTCTAGGTATTTTCTAGGTTCTCCAGAACAACTGGTTGAAATTCATTTATAGCTTTGTTTTCAGTTCCATAAATAATGCTTGTGGCCAAAATGAGCAAAAAAATCCTTATAATGGGCTGTGCCAGGTCTTTTCTCCACTGGATTGTATAAACAGAGATTGATGGGCATTTATCAAGGGATGCTTTAGCTCCATTGAATGAACTTTCTACAATATTATGCTTCTTTCACCCATTTCAGCTAGATCTTGTCTTGCTTCTCCTCTGCTTCCTTACCACAACACAACAAGGACACTTTCAGGCATAAGATAGAAAGGTAGGGTGTTAGGGGTGTAGGGGGAGGAGGGGGCCATTGACCACTTGTTTGAAAATTCTATCCCTTGATTAATTTTTTCTTGAATCTGCAGATTTCTCGCATTACACAGAGAGAGGAACTGGAAATTGCTAACACAAACAACTCTTACATTTATTGTGCTTGCATTCTGTTAGCAACTTTGCCTGTCCTTTTATTTTGGATGCCTAGACTGTATTTCTAAATGATCAACCCCAGTTTTAAGTTACTAGAGTGCTAGAAATTTGGTAACTGAAGAAAAAAGTGAATTAAATTCTTATTTGAGAGCCAATGTCCCCATTCTATCCCACCCAGCCCAGTAGCTACTCTACTGGACAGTGGCCAGATGAGAAAAATACAAGGCTCCTGTTTGTTTTAACAGCTATATAGAAATGTAATTTTCAATAAATATAGCAGGGTTGTGAATGATATGGTGTTCCAGATATTGATGAATTGCAGCTCCCAGTATTCTGCCTTACTGACTATATTAGCCAGGGTTGTTGGCACTTGCATTCCAGAAAGCTCAGCGAGACCACCCTATTCCCATCCGAAACTATAGCTTGCCTGACAAACTGCTGGAATTTTCTCTTCTATGCAACTTTTCTCTTTTGTGCAACTTTTAACAGTGTGGATATCTTGCCATTTTCCCTTTGGAAATCCTAAAAAAAAGAGCTGACAAGTGCTGGAAAAAATAGGTAAGCCACTTGTCTGTTTATGTTGCAGCTAGAACACTTCCATCTGAACCTGTTGTACTGCTTTCTCAGCCCAGTAGCACCTCAATTGTCCACCAAGCACCCATGTGTCATAAACAAAGTTAACTACTGAGTTGCTGTGTGGCCATGATCCAGAAGCATTCTCTCCTGATGTTTTGCCCACATCTATGGCAGACATGCTCAGAGGTTGTGAGACCTCACAACCTCTGAGAATGCCTGCCATAGATGTAGATGAAACTTCTGGAGAAAATGCTTCTGGAACATGACCATACAACCCGGAAACCTCACAGAAACCCAGTGATTCCAGCCATGAAAGCCTTCGACAACACAAGGTTAATTACTGTTACAATAAGTCCACAGGACTGAACAGTTGCCCTCCAGTCTCTCAACTAGCAATGTGGAACTAAGGACTTTATCACATCAGCCTGTTGTTTCATGGCAATTTTGTTTTTTATGCAATCGGAACATACCAGTTTGAAAACAATCACCTTCACAACTGTTTGTAGTCATGCTATTGTGTACCCATCCTTTGCTCCTCCCCAGGTCCTCTCTTTTCTTCCTGTCTTGCTTCTTACCCCTTCCCTTGCCTCACTCCCCACTTTCTATAGGCTTTGCAAAATGGGTCTGTTCCCCTCCCCCCGTGTTATTTTTTCAAACATAGGAGATGGAGACATGGGTCCCTTTCTCTTTTTATTTTATTTGAATACAAGTCACTCTATTGAGGAGTAAACTCAGTTGGCAATCAGTGGAGTGGAGGATTTGGAACAATAGGAACAATAGGCCCAAAGTATTGAATTAAGTAGTGCTTTTCTCAGAAGAGGGAGAGTGAAATCAGAGCTAACCTTGCTAAGCCTCCATCTCCCATCTTCAGAACTCATGCTTCCATATATTATACCAACCTCTGCCTGTTTGTCAAAGGCAAGAGAGAGAGAGAGAGAGAATCATGCCCATTCATGCAGTGACATTAGGAGCCATAGATGGGTTTTTCTCCATCAGTGAAATTGTACGCTCCATCAAGAATTTAAATGCAAAGCAATAACAGCAAAGACATGATGTGTGGCAAGTACCAGCAGCTACAGACACTATTATCCTACTGTAATTGCGATTTATCAGCCTCATATGATAAAGTCCTAAGTTACTTCAGGTTCCACTCATGCTATATACAATTTGTACTCGTGACAAATAAAGTATCAAAGCTAATGTCCCATTTCTGCCTTCTATTTCGATAATTGGTAGCTGATTGGAATATTCCTCCAAAAGAGTTTGAAAGATGCAACCATGTTAATCCAAAATATTTTTGCTTTAAGTGCTCAGTTTTCCAAGTCCAGGATAGCCATGAGTGCGTTTTCTTCCATAACTGCAACCAACATTGTTTATCTTCTTAACGCCCACCAAATTTTAGAATTCATAACTAGCTGTGCATTGTTTATTCGACCTATTCACTGTGTTCTTTATTTTTTTCATTCATTCTGTTGCTGAAATCCTATTGTTTTCATTTTTTAACACCTCATTCAACAGTCTAGTCTGCTCCTTCCCTACAGACGTTCATTTCTTATTGTTTCACAAACTGAACTCCCTAAAAGAAAGAGCGGAAATCTCAAAACAATCATGACTGAATTAACCTTCTTGAATATGT